TGCTAAGGATGGAAAAGAAAGGTAAGCTTAAACGAATAACATTTTCAGAATGGGCTTCACCCATCTAGCCTGTAAAAAAGAAAGATGGAAGTTATAGAACATGTGCTGATGTGAGCAGAACTGTAAACCCAAATTTTAAAATTGATATTTATCCCTTGCCCAAAATTGGAAATATTCTGCAGGAAACATCAGGAAAAAAATATTAAGTCATCTTAGATCTGTCCGAAGCCTATTTACAGTTAAAGGTTAACTTAGAGCTCCTTCTAGTATTTTCCATAGCGCTTAATTATTTAGCTCGAAAGAACCAATGTTACTTGCACAATACTAAATTATTAATCAAAATGCAAGCATTAATCAATATGTAATTTTATTACATTGACATATACATACAATCAAAATACATAGCAAACATGATAATAATAAAAATGAACATAGTGAATAAGTTGAGTATTGGCTAGTTGAGAATTGGTTGCTGTTAGTAACACACTGTATATCTTTGGTTACCCCTTGCTTTAAATAATATCGTATTTGCAACAAAAAAAACGTGTTACGTTACGAACCTAAAAAGTTAGAATTGCGCCAAGAATTCTTGACCTTATAAATCATCCACTTTGCGGCGTTCACAATCCTACCATAGATTTCGCATTATGTACGATAGCGCGCGCGATTCATGCGACTCACGGCTCGATTTTTCTATCAGCATCCTTGAAAGTTTGCCAAAGGAATTAGACGATCCGCGAAACGCTTTCCAACATCCTTTAAAAGCTTCTTTATATCCCAGATGAATTTCGGTGCGTCGCCAGAAGTTTATGTTTTAACTTGTAGTCGGCGTGTGCGGGTCATGACCTTTAGACTCGCTCCCGAAAAATGCTAATTTAAGGATAATAATGATGAAGATAGCATGCTAGTTAATGCGATATTAATAGCTCAAAACATTCTGGTAGTAAATGACATTGTATTAAACTATAACTCAAAAATAAAAGCATTAATTTTAACATAAAATTCTTAACAGTTCTTCGCGTATCATGCACTCTTGTGACGTGCAAGTGTACTCAGATCTACATGGTTACAACACATTCAACAATGTTTTCTAACTTATTTACTCTTATTATAGCTGATATTATATGCATAATTGCTTATTTGTCCCCTTAATTGTTGTTAGTGATAAATCTTATCTAGGTCATTGACTATTTAAGGAGTCTAGGTATATTTAATTATTTACTGAATTATTTATACAATAAGTGAGTCTTTTGTTGTACTGGAATATTACCCTGCATAGTCACACATTAGTCACAGTCATTGAAGTTTCGATACACATCAGCAATTCGTCTAAATTCAGTGATAGTGCTTGATAACGCTTCTTATACGGTATTGGTAAATCTTAAAAATTCGATTGCACTCCCCTTCTTTGACGATTCTTATAAATTGGAGACAATGGCGGTAGTACTAGCTTTGAGATATTTTCCAGTTTATGAACTTGGTATACATTTCAAATTGTACCTGACTTACAACGTCCTTTTCAAGAAAATACCTTCATTCGAGAACCGCACGGGAGTGGATTGAAGTCATAGAGTTTACTATTGGCATAGAATATAGATCGGACACAAAAATGACACACGTTGAGGTTCTAAACTGAAACAGTCGAAGTCAATAATGTAGATCTTATAGAAGAATATTGGATTGTAGCCGCGCAACAAGGAACCACTCAAATAAGGAGAGTACCAGACATTTTGGTAGCAGTTGTGATTAGCAATGAAACAAAACAACACACAAGAAATATAATTTCAAATATAATAACCTATACAGAAGAAAAAGAACGATATGCTAAATCACAACAAGATGCTACAAAATACGTAGAAGAAGATTTAATTATGAAAGAAATAACTAGTAAATTGACAACTGGTTCTTGTAAAAAGCTCTCTCTCTCTCAAATATATTTCAATTAATTTAACCATCCATCTCTTTTACCATTTATTTTATATTTTTCGTCATCATTTTCATATCTTTTAATACTTTTCTCTTTTTCTGTTGCATCTGCTATTTGTTGCAATCACCCATTCGGTTATAACGACCAACTCTCAGTTTAATAGGGCAGATGATAAAAATAACCAATTATTAATATTTCGCATAGCATAAGAAAACATTAAATCATTCGAACTCGTCAAACAGGACATTTAAGGACCCAATCATACTTCTACAACGTATCAAATAAAGAATATTTTTATATACCCTCTTTAGTCTAGTAGTATAAAAGTAAACGTTTAGCACGGCTGTTAAGAGGGCAGCTGTCAGTTTCCGACTGTGATTGCCCTATCAATAGGCATAACTAATAGGTCCTTCCACCATCAATAAAGCCTGAATAGACCTATTTTCAATTATAGATATTCCGTTCGCTCGAATAGAACGATAGCCAGATGCTTTATCAAGTTTAGATTATTGTTTTACCCAATTTCAATATCATCGAGATTAAACACAAGTACAATCACATTTCGCCTTATATAATTCGTGTATAGTAAAGAAAATGAAATTATAGGTTTTATTAATGAATTTAGTATATTATTTATAGATTATTAAATACCTTTTTTATTAAACTTGGTCCAGGAGTAGCACAGAAAATAATTTTATTCAATCAAGAACGTTATTTAACAAAAATATATTTAAAAAGGCATGCAAAGAAGACATAATATCAGTCAAGATATTTGAGTTCAAGGATAAAATTAATAAAATATTTGAGTAAGTACTTTAGTAAATCTTTTAGTAATATTTCTCTGCCTCAAGTATTGATGATTAGGAATCAATTAAGAATTGAATCTATTAAGAATCTATTAAGAATCTATTAAGAATCTATTAAGAATCTATTAAGAATTTATTAAGAATCTATTAAGAATCTATTAAGAATCTATTAAGAATCTATTAAGAATCTATTAAGAATCTATTAAGAATCTATTAAGAATCTATTAAGAATCTATTAAGAATCTATTAAGAATCTATTAAGAATCTATTAAGAATCTATTAAGAATCTATTAAGAATCTATTAAGAATCTATTAAGAATCTATTAAGAATCTATTAAGAATCTATTAAGAATCTATTAAGAATCTATTAAGAATCTATTAAGAATCTATTAAGAATCTATTAAGAATCTATTAAGAATCTATTAAGAATCTATTAAGAATCTATTAAGAATCTATTAAGAATCTAATAAGAATCTATTAAGAATCTATTAAGAATCTATTAAGAATCTATTAAGAATCTGTTAAGAATATATTAAGAATTTATTAAGAAGCTATTAAGAAGCTATTAAGAAGCTATTAAGAATCTATTAAGAATCTATTAAGAATCTATTAAAAATCTATTAAAAATCTATTAAATATATATTAAAAATATATTAAGGTGCATCCATTGTTTATGGATCGTAAATTCGATCTTGCAACTATTTTTTTTAAATAAATTAAAAATAATAATGGTGTGTGGCGAGTTGCAGTATTAATAGTTGAATAAAGATTTTAAAAAACTACTAAATCTGTCACAAAATAGATAACAGTATATAATATGGGTCTCCTTTAAATATTTGATTTCTTTTCACGTTCTTCTTATCATTTGATACTCTAAATGTTAACCCCTAAAGCCGACCCATTGAGCGTCATTTTTAGATGATAATTCCGACGCCTGACCTTAAAATGAATAAAAATTACTATTATGATTCTTACAATTATTTTTTTTATGAATATTTGCATGGGCAAATAGCCAATATGCACTACTTCGTTTATTAAATATAACTATTTCTATTAACATAGATATAAAAAAGCGTAGTTATTTTCAATATTTGACATTTCCTATATTTCTCTACTATTCTGATGATTAGACATCACTGGATTGTCATCACTGCATAAATGATTAATGACCTACATTAGTTTTTATATTATAAATCTTGTAACTGTTGATACACATATTTTTCTTCCGACACCATACGATACATATATTTCACTTATCAAAACAAAATATTTAAACCAAAAATCATGATTCCTATACTTTCCTTATATCTGTATACAGATAGGAAAGTAAAAATATGTTTAAAAACCGCTAAAACAACAGCCTTAACATTTGTTATCAATTAAGCTGAGCGGCACGGTGGCGGTTATCGCAAACTTCCACCACCCACACCCTCACCCTCCACCAAACAGGCCTGCATGCAGAAAACCAATATATTTCCAAAACGAAATAGAAACCCAAACACATTAGTTTAAAGGTACGGGGATTGTTTGGTAACTACGTGACCTAACAAAGAAAATGCAAGTTTATAAAAAACATTTTATTTTTCAATACAATGTAGTTGGTAACAAATTGTGCTTACTTTTCAATAAATAACATTTTTAGCTAAAATTGGGAAATACTAACTATTTATTAAAAACTCTAACAAACTTAAGTAAGGTCCAAAAATTTTATTTTTTATAAAATAAGCACGATTTGGTACTCATTTTTAAATAAAAGCAATTGCTTTATTTTTATTTATAGTACCCAGTATCTTGCTTGCTCAAAACACTTATTCCAATAATGATATTCCAAGACAGTAGCAGGATTAGCAGGTTCTGGACATCCACGACGAGTGCTATCAATGATTATGCTCATACGTTCACACTTAAATACGTCAACCCAGTTTTTAACCATGAAAAACGAAGAAGCAGAAAGGTCATATCTGCAAAATTAGCAGTTTTTTCAATCTTTTTGCATTTGCTTACATTTTGTCTTTCTTGATACCAAAACGGAATGTTCTATTTTCGTCTTAAAGGTACTAGACCGTTAAAGTGTTTCACAAAAGAGGCGAAAAATAGTTAAATACTCGATTATTTCCAAACAACAAATGTTTAGATAGGACCTTTCTTGCCAATTGCAAATTTTGGCAAAATTTTCTTTTGTGAACAGGATCTAAAGTCAATAAATAATATCCACTTTCTCTACTGGATTTAATTCACATTCACTCCTGCTGTATATCTTTGTATTAGTCCATGTAGTTACTAAACAATCCTCGTATTTTTAAAATATAACCCAATGCTTGCTGGTAGCACCAGAGGCAATCTTTTTCCGTTAAATCAATTGTCGAGCACGAGCATTCTGCTTCTAGATGTAAACGGTAACAGGTGCTTCGAGCTTCGATGCTTTCAGGCCTTTTTTTTTACTCGTTTTTCCATTTGGCGACCTCCTGAATTATTGCACTGAATGTTCGTTTGACAAAGAGGATCATTATTGCCAACATCGTGTTCGGTTTGGGGATTACTTTTTGGGCTGCAAGGTAAAAGGAATATTATTACATGGAATATTACTCGTTTCTGTCTGTGTGGATTAAAGGATTTCGACTTCTGTTCATATATCTACAGAGTGTAGCAATCTTGTGGAAATTGTAGCAAAATTCCATAGTTACTGGGTTATCAAAAATTAATCATATCCATGTCAACCAATAATGAATCAAAATTGAACTAAAACCCTGTGGGGAGTTTTGATATTTGTGATTTTTAACATGCATTCATTGTGCCTGGTTTAGATATGTAATCTAAATTATTGTATAACTTATTCTGTGTTCATATGGATGTTTTTTAGTTTAATAATAAATTCATCAACACAAACCTGTGTCTGAAATTTTAATAAACGCTCTGAGACAGATAGTCTCCATATATTGTTACAATTGGCGCCCAACTAATAGGAACTATCTAAGAGTAAATATGGACCAAAAAAATCATACATACTTCACAAGATGTACTAGGACGGTTAAACCAAACACTGAAGTAATTACAGGAAACAATGGCATCGAGGATGGGAGAGGCTCAAATCGGAGTTTAGTGTCATCTTCCATTCAAGAAAATCACAGAAGAGAGTGTGGTTCATCCAAAACAAGATGTAGAAATTACCACTATTGTTGATCAAGTGATTTCTAGAATGCAATAATTAAATCCAGATGACAACAATAATGCAGAAAATCGCCTAGGAACAATGAAAGCGATTTTACTATAAAGTCAAGTAAGAAATTGTCGTTCAGGGCAATATTCAACCTGTAGATTTTGTAAATCAGTTAGAATATGCGTTTCAAATTGATAAAGTTCCTTTTGAATACTATAAATTCTTACTGGACCAACAATTTAAGGGAGAGGCTTCATTGTGGTATCAAGCTTTTGTTAACTATTTTGAAAGTTTTGATAATTTTGTAGAAAGATTTACGGGTCATCTTTCGTTTAGCCAAAATCAGTTACGTAAAAATTGTTGCCTTGGCAACCGTTGCCCATGGTAACCAGTAAACAAGATGTAAAGATGTAAACAACCCCTTGCACTTTTGTCCGGCAGCTGATATAGAAATTCGTTGTTGTGGATTTATTAACGCTTCTTTATTGTGTTGTTAAGATTTTTTGGGGTTTTGTGGGTTTTTCATTATGCCAGGAAATGCATGTGCTATAAGTGATATACAGGGTGTCCTTTAAAATGTGTCCCAAAATTCTCAGGCAGATTCCTTAACCAAAAAATGGAAAAAAAGTTCCTATAGACCTATGTCCTAAAGTGCCCCCTAAGCGAGCAACAGCCTCTCGAAATCATTTTTTTTATTTTGATTTTTTGAATTTCTTAAAAATGGAAACAAATAAAAGAACCAAATTTTGGCTGTTAAATATGATCAATAATAGTGACCTTTTGACACCTTCAAAAAGAAATTATTTCGTCAGGGGTGTACTTGGGAATTTTTTGAAAATTTTGATAATTCATAACTTTTTTGTGTTTTTGGTAATGACTTATCCATATTTTTTTTTACATTCTACATTGAAAACTACGTTTCCGAGAAAACATCATCCAAAGATATTCGTGCAGTTTAGGTTAATTTTCAATTTTGGCTGTTGTAGCCAAAAAGTTGGAAATCGAGGAACACGGCTTACATGTCCCTATCCTTACTTTTGAAGGTCTATTCAGTGGCAAAAAATATTAGTTGATACAGGGTGATCAAAAATCGGATGTGATTTTGGATTTTTGATCACCCTGTATCAAATAATATGTATTTTATTTCACTGAATAGACCTTAAAAAGTTAGGATAGGGACTGTAAGCCGTTTTCCTCGATTTCCAACTGTTTGGCTACAACAGCCACCTGAATTTGAAAAAATGTGATTTTTGAGTAGCTGTAGATCCTTTACTATTCATATTAGATAACAAGTGTGATATATCATTGAAATCAGATTATCGAGCAGATTCTAAAAATATAAAAATATACAGGGTGTTCCATTTAAAAAACATAACTTTGATTTGGCACGGCCTTATGAAACACCCTGTCACATCGTAACTAATTTTAAAATGTGAAGCTTAAAGCTGCCTACTTTTATTATAACAGATCTACAGAGCTTCCTCACACTAATCAATCACCCTGTATACTATTTTTAGCTCTCTAAATAAAATTTAAAAATTTAGTTCCCATTTATTTATTATGAAGACCATAAGGTTTGTATTTAGCTGTTTAGAATAAAAAAGTAAAAATATGCTCACTGATAAAAATGTTTCTTCAGTTAAACATTATTTCTAAAAGTGTTCTGGTGCGATTCGTTGTATTGTTATTATTTTGTTTAAAATGGCTCACAATAACTACAATAATGATTACACATTCGGCGAAATGACGGACATGCACTTATGTTTTGGACTCGCTTCTGGAAATGCCAATGAAGCTCGCAGACTTTATCAGGAGCGCTTTCCAAATAGGCATCTTCCATGCGCTAAGACGTTTTCTAGAATTGACGATAGACTTCGGGAAACTGGTACATTTAAGAAAAACTCTAGTAACAGTGGAAGACAAAATTATGTGAGAACTCCTGCTTTGGAAGAAGCAATTTTGGATAGGGTAGCTGAAACCCCATCGACAAGTACCAGAAAAATAGCAAATGGTAAGTAATTACTTATTTATTATTTTAGCTACCCCGTACCTTATCGTATAAAACTAGTTTTTTTACTTGTTATTGCTTCTCTTACATTTCACGACTTTTCGTATCGAAAAGAGTTGCGTTATGCAGAAAAAATCTGATTTCCCAAATCAATGGATTCTCTTTCTTAACTATTCACTACACAGATTCTCTCATTTAATTTCAGAAGTGGGAGTCGGACGTAACACGGTATGGAAAGTTTTGCGTGAACAACAATTGTACCCTTACCACATTCAAAAAGTTCAGGCACTTAAAGCTACTGATTATGAGCCGCGAGTTATCTTTTCTGAATGGTTTCTTGGAAGATGTAATCAAGATGCAATGTTTCTTAATAAAGTGCTATTTACCGATAAAGCTGGTTTCACTAGAGATGGTATAATAAATTTTCGAAATATGCATGAATGAGCTGAAGATAACCCTCACGCGGTTGTTGAACGTCACCACCAGGATAAATTTTCAATAAACGTCTGGGCTGGAGTTATTGATAATTACCTTATTGGACCATTTGTTTTGCCGAATAGGTTAAATGGAGCAGCATACAGGCTTTTTTTGGAAAATAACTTACATGAGCTTCTTGATAATATTCCGATTCAAATCAGACATAACATGTGGTTTATGCATGATGGAGCTCCACCACATTACAGCCTTGAAGCTAGACAGCACCTTAACGAAAGATTTGAGGGTAGAGTAATTGGCAGAGGTTGTCCTGTTAACTGGCCACCTCGTTCACCAGAACTAAATCCAATGGATTTTTTTGTTTGGGGTTATTTAAAATCATTGGTTTATTCCAGTCCTGTTGAAACAGTTGAAGAATTGGAAGAACGAGTTTTTCATCATTGCGAAGTTCTTAGGAATAATCCTGAAGTATTTTTTCGTGTAAGACAGTCTATGATGCGACGGTTGCGCTTGTGTGTGGAAACCAATGGTCGCCACATTGAGCATCTGCTTTAATTTTTTTTGATTTGTTTTTTTAGAATAAATATTTTTTTAAACCGTTTCTTATTATTAAATAAAAATAGTCCCACCACGACATTTGAACTACAATTATTTAGAGAGAGCTAAAAAAGTTATTTTTATTTACGAGATTCACCGAGGTAATTTAGGAAAATTGAAAATTAAGCTAAAGTGGACGAATATCTTTGGATGATGTTTTCTCGGAAACGGCTGCTCCAATCGAGATCAAACAAGTATTCCTTTTTGACGTAGTTTTCAATGTAGAATGTAAAAAAAAATATGGATAAGTCATTACCAAAAACACAAAAAAGTTATGAATAATCAAAATTTTCAAAAAATTCCCAAGTACACCCCTGACGAAATAATTTCTTTTTGAAGGTGTCAAAAGGTCACTATTATTGATCATATTTAACAGCCAAAATTTGGTTCTTTTATTTGTTTCCATTTTTAAGAAAATTCAAAAAATCAAAATAAAAAAAATGATTTCGAGAGGCTGTTGCTCGCTTAGGGGGCACTTTAGGACATAGGTCTATAGGAACTTTTTTTCCATTTTTTGGTTAAGGAATCTGCCTGAGAATTTTGGGACACATTTTAAAGGACACCCTGTATATTTTTATATTTACTACATAAGTTAAATACTCATAAATATAAAACTGCCTAATGACCAAACCTTTATTATAAATGTAAACTACAAAAGAGTTTTACTTCAAATTACGTCGAGCAGTGTAAACATCACATTCAAGACCAGTTCATAATTCGAGCAGTGTTTTACTGTGTCGTTCCGTCAATAACGTCAAAAGAGAAAGAAAGAAAATTTGCACCACCCAAGATCAAAGGCACCGACGCTTTATGTCGCTACTCAACGGTTAATATACTTTGCTTATAGCCATCACAATTGTTATCATGACAATAGTTTTTGTATAACAGATTTCGTCCAAACGAAAGTTGAGCCTTATATGGCCTTATATATGCCTATAGGGCATTCTGCCAATAGATATTACCGCCAGAAGATTAAATGTAACGAAGATGGTTGTAAGGTTGTAAGCACCATAAGCTTTACACCTTTACACCGTTTACACCTAGCTAAACCACACCATGAGCCCCCAAAAGCTGTACTTCTTCTAAAGCAACAATCCTCACAATTTTGTGCCAAACAATCTACATTTTCTGAAGAAGATCGTGTCCTTCTAAAAGTTATACCTAAAAGTTCGTGGTCCAGATGGTGAATGTAAAATTTTCGCTCTTTTGGATAAAGGTTCGACCTGTTCCCTTATCGAAGAAAATTTGGCCAACCAATTGGGACTTATAGGGCCACTTGACCCACTTTGCTATCAGTGGAAAAATGGTGTATGGCACCACGAAAGCGAATCCAGAGTCGTGTGTCTAGAAA